AATACAATTCACATGATCCATCTTTGTATACGGTATGCTACTGGGATGGAAATACCAGATACAACGATGACTACCATCCTGGATGCATATCATCAGTGCTGGATGCAGTTCGGACCAGCTGAGGTACTTTACTCGGATGGAGAAGGTGCCCTTAATACTGACACTGCGAAAGCAGTCCTCAAGGCAAAAGACACTGAACTTAGATTGCGCGCACGTGGACAGCACGCTGCGACGATCGAGGCCGGACATGGCATCCTACGTCATCTACTTTACGTAATGGAGGCTGAACTCAATAGGTTCGAAATACTTATTGTGTTTACTAGACTACTGCTTGAAGCCTTGTTTGCTGCCAGCGCATTCACTTTCTACAACGAGGTGTCTCCATGCAATGCACTATTTGGACGGCAACCAGCAATGCCCCCTGACCTCCTTGTTCTGGACCACGAGCAGTCGACAGAAACATCACATCATTCTCGTGAACAGACAATACGCAGGGTATACATTGAGGCGATCACACATGCCACGGCAGTAGGTAAGACCAATCGTGCTCTACGCACTAAAACGACAATTGCAGGTCAGCGTTATTATGACGAAGGAGATTCGGTTGACTACCATCGCTCTACGACTACTAAAGATGACTGGGGAGGCTGGAATGGCCCGTTCCCAGTTGTGAGGAATGATCCCGAAAAGGGGTCAGGTCATCATCCGAGTAGGCAACCGAGATGTTCGAGTACAATACTGCGATGCAAGACACTCGCTCTACATTGAAGCACTCATAGCCCGAGAGATTGGCTCCGACAACACTGCGCTACGTACAGTGTTGACATTCGTAGCTAGCCTTTCAGCGGGGAGACCTGCGTTTACATTTGGCTATGTGCCGACCGAGAAAGGTGCGCTTCAGATGACGGCGGCAAGTCGTCTATCTGCAAAGGTACACTTGGCTCTGCAAGATTCCATCAGAAACTTCTTCCGCATCGAGTTTTTTTTTTTTTTTTTTTTTTTTTTTTTTTTTTTTTTTTTTTTTTTTTTTTTTTTTTTTTTTTTTTTTTTTTTTTTTTTTTTTTTTTTTTTTTTTGTTTTTTGTTTTTTTTTGTTTTTTTTTTTCGGTCAGACTAGCCAAGCATATTCATAAAGCGACCCCCGGTTACTTATGCGGACTGTTGCACATTGGTTCATTAAGATAACAACGTGCATCCAGGATTCCAGTACTATGAATCAGGAGGTACTGCTCTGAATATACATGATATAACTGGATCAGCACATTCGCGAATCATCCAGTGCCTGAAGTCCACGAAACCTCAGGCAGGCTTCGATCAGGACGTGCCAGAGTTCGAGGACTTGGCTGATGCGCCGACACCTGAGGGAGCCGCCAGAGAGGCTTCAGAAGCCGAACCAGAACATGATGACGGACGGCTGTCTACGATCTACGAGGAATCAGAAGCTGATCTTGAGTCACATGTCATGGAGGTACGGTACGCAGAGTTGCGAAAGGAAAAGGAACTGTTGGAGGCAACTCCACTAGAATACCTCTTTACCGTACCTACACAGATGGTTCCTGATCAGAGTGCGTTGCTCACTGTAGCTGATGAGCAGCGGGGACACCTGCCGAAGTGGGGGTGCGCTCATGATCCCGATGCCGAGGAAACGTACTACGCTTCCTTGTGCACCATGGTCAAAGACGACAGCTACGGACTCGACTCTGACGAAAACGGTCCATGCGTTGAGCTCTGCGTTGAGATGTCAAATATAGTCTTGTCCGAGCAGCAACGCGTGCTGTTAGACGCCGACCGGGTGACCACCATGCGAGTGCATGTTGCTGCCGCTGCAAAGCGAGCTGTGGTCGTCAAGGAAGATGACTTCCTCGCTAAGGCTGGCATCCAGGCGAATCCCGAGAAAATATCGAAGGCCCCGTTCACTGAGCTCAAGACATGGTTCGACAATAAATGCGTCAAAATGCAGGGGATCGCCAAAGCGTCGAACATCATGACTTCGAGATTTGTATACACATGGAAATTCGTTAAAAAACGACGGGTGAGATGGGGCGCGCCGTCCGACTACGTTTGGTACTTCGAGGCTTCGTGGACCTAGAAGCTTTCGATGTAGGAACATTTTCGGGAACAGCCAGAAGGTCAAGCCAGAGGTTACTTGCCAGCGCGGTAGCGTGCAAGAAACAGTGGATCATTGCTTCCCTGGACATCAACATGGCCTCCCTAAAAGGATTGGCCGATCGAGAACTCGCCGAGGCAACGGGTGAAAAAGGAAAGTGTGGTGTGCTTCACTTTGCCGCCTGGGTCGGCAACTGTGCTCCGCGCTCTTCCAGGATTTGAGAACTACGACGAGTCAAAACACAGGCGATGAACCCCACGGGCGAGGTCGACTTACATGGTGGAGACGCCGATGACGACGTCAAAGGCTATGGCATTCGCGGGGCAAGCCTGCTACGACGTGGAAACGCGTCATCTGGCAAGCCTGTCGTTCACTTGATTGATGCGTTCTGCAAGTCCCACCGCTTGCAAGTCCGCTCAAGTTACTCAGCAGCCCATAATTCGGAGGACTGGTGTCCCACGATTGTGACTCTGCACGAGCTCCATGCGGGGCCACTCACACCCACTTAGTTGAAAGACATACTTGGAGTTGGGTGGCCTGAGCATCAAGGTCACCTTGACCATCGATGCTGAGTCTGCCTTTAATTCCTTGTCAAGCAAAGACTTGAAGAAGCCGACTGAGTGTACCTTTTTAGGACACATAGGTTGGATACGACAGATGATGGAACGCGGAATCGTGCATAGCATTCAGTGGTGTGATGCCCGCGATATGACTGCGGATGGACACACAAAAGGGAGCATTGACTGATACATGCATCTACAAGTCATGGGAGGTATACAGACCTTCAACCATGACCTGAAGAGACATGCGCCATATCGGGCCGGCCGGACATCAAGTTCTGACGCCGCCTGATGCGTATGTCTTATATTCGCGAGGCAACTCGCTGACGGGTCCAATTCCTTTGGGTCCGTTTCTTTTCCTGTCTTTGTATCGGTTAGCTGCTGAATTGTTCTCGCTATATGGGTGGCGGACGCACGCTTCGTCTCCCTCCCCCCCGACTCTAAAGCGAGCTGAGGGACGTAAGGAGCGGAAGCGAGCGTGCGCCCGCCGCCGTCTTGGCTCAAAGCGGCCGGCCGCCTAGATTTGACTGTGCCTCACCGCGAGGCGCACTATCGCTATCGATAGTAAAAGGCATCCCCTTTTACTTGACATGGCATCCCCTCTTGCATTGGGACTATCGTTGCTACGATACAACCGATCTGGAGTTTGGCTTCGCCTGAGGCGAAACTGTTGGCCTCCCAACCCCCTTCAAACTGTGTGTGTGTGTGTGTTTGTGTGTGTGTGTGTGTGCGCGAAGCCTGCGCGGTTTTGCTCGACTTGGCTCGTGACCAGCCGAGTTGCTCTCCCCGCCCACGTGCGCCCGAACAGTGTGTGAGAGAGAGAGAGAGAGAGAGAAAAAGAGAATGTGTTGGTTCGTGTGCGAACTCGTGACATCCCAAGCGTGTCTAGGGGGGTCACCCCGTGCATGTACGGGTTGGTGGAAACCCATGTGCGCGGCATGTGGACTTCCACGCCTGTGGACGTCGTGCGTGCGGAACCCCATGTGCACACTTCGGGCTTCGCAGCGAGAGGGGGGAGGTGTGATTTGGGAGGGGGTCCGATTTGGGCGGTCTTGGAGGCATCCAGTGTGTCTGGGCGAAAGGACGCCCTCTCGTGGCTTGTTTGTGGAGCTAACGAAACGGGAGGGGCGTGGCCCCCCTCCATTTTATTACCACATCTGGAGTCGGTGGTGCGGGGGGTACACGCTGGTCGTTGAGAGTAGGTATTCTTGGACCCCCAGATCCCAATCTACTTTAAGCGCCTTCCTACTTCAAGAATCGGCATGCTTTTGATGTGTTTTGTCACTCTCTGGGAGGACCTGGACCCAATCCACTGTGTCCGCCTTTCTACTTCATGTTTCTACATACTTCTTCCGACCGACGTGTAATCTGGTCCCATAGCATGTCGAGCCGCAGGGATGCAAGCAGCCGCTGGTCTGTGTAACTCACGGCCACTGGGGCGGGAAGCCGAAGGGATCCATAGGCTTCCCCAAAAGGAATTCAAGAAGCCATCAGAAAGTGCAACAGGCAGGGCCGTTTGGGCGGGGAGCCATACATGTTAATGTTCTGTGTATGGGACGGCATACCAAAGGGATCCAAGCAGCCACCAGAAATCGTCTCACACTGCCGAACTTGCGCACTCTGTGTTCAAGCCTTCAACTGAACACCTGGCCGCACGTATTACGAGCTGTAATTTGGACTTAGACGCTTTTCAGGAGTGATTCTCTCGAACTTTTCATTCGCCTGAGGGCTCGGATTTCTCCCTGGTGGAGGTGGAATGGCGAGCGAGAGACCGATCGACCCAAGAGAACGCGTGGACTGAGTGAGGAGTAGGGTGCGAGGAGCAAGCTTGCTCAAGAGGGGCAACTCTTGCACGGATCCAGCCACGCCAGAGTTCCCCGAGGCACGGGCTGGCAGCGCCGAGAGGGAGCACCCGTGCCGTCCTCCGGTCGAGGGCCGGCCACGTGCGGCGCGGGGGAGTGGGGCGAGGGGGGCGGCCCGGTCGGAGGGCCACTTGCCTGTCGGAAGGCGTGGTGCGCGTGGGTTTCACGGGGCGGGCTCCTTTCACAGCCCCTCCCCCGGAGCCCCACTCGGCATTCTTTCGAGGCCTGCCCCTCTCGCCCCGACCAGGTCCTGCTCTGCTCGCCGCCGAGTGGTTGCGTCTCGGCATGGCTCAATGACTAGGCGCATCTTGCTCATCAGACGGCTGCTCTGATTACGCCCGCAGGGAGAGTGAGCTCTGCGCACCGGGCCGTTATTTGGCGAGGGAGCACGGGGAGCGTTGCAGTGCCTCTGGTTTCGGAACGCGGGAGGGCTTGACGCTGGGGATTGGTGGGATGGGCTCGAGCAAGCGAGGCCAAAGACACGGTCAGCATCGGCCCCTTCGACGCGAAGAATCAGACCTTCTGGGAGGAGACCTCTTCTGCGCTTCTCATATTCCAACCCGCTACAGTTCCGACCCTGTCTTACGTGCGAATTCAGGGGCCGCGACATCCCAGGCTATCGTATGTTTTCGTGCAAATGAAACGATGCGCACTGATGCGCGTTCTTGGCTTTCCGGTGGATTGGCGGAGTGGTTGTCCGACAAGTCGATGGCGCGACGACGCCTCTTGACGTCACAGGGAGCACCGTCGAGGCCGTTTGGGGGGACCAGTTCGTCCGAGGCGTTTCTCCATAAACGAGGGCAAGGGGACCAGTCTTTTTCTCGTCACGTCTCCTTCTGCACATGTCCTCTTTCTTCCCTCCCCTTGCCCGCCCAGTAGAGAGGAACTGTTGGAAAGTGTGCCTACTCTCACCAGAACTCGCCCATCTCAGTGCTCCCGAACGGGCAATCCAAGGTGTCGAAAAGGGCGGACGGAACCAAACGAGGAAGACGGGGCGAAACAGGGAGCGAAACATTCCTGTTTGGGCCTCTACGAAGAGGCCCCAGGACCCTTGGCTTGCAGACCATGATGCGGGGATCTCACACGCCGTACCTGGTTGGGCGGCGGATTGCTGTGCCCACCCCGCGGGCCCATATTGTATCGTCGCTGGCACTTGCCTGTGTGAGCGCGGGGTGTGGGAGCTGAGAAGGAGTTGGGTGGCGGTCGTGTCCATGAGCTATGGCGTAAGCCTCGCTTAGGGGAGAAAAGTAACAGGACGGTTGCGAGGAGCGCTCAACTGAGTACGCCCCCCCACCGAAGTTCTGTCAGTGCATCCCGCCACCGTGCCTGGGTCGTGTATCAGAGGCGTGTTGGATGGTTCTCAAGCTCCCATGGGAGGTCTTTCGGGCTTCCGAGGGCATCTTGGAAGCTTATCGTGGGCTTCTTGGGGCCCCTCCTCTCTGGGGGCCTCTCCAGGGCCTCTTGGGGGCTCTTGGGGCCTCCAGGGCCTCTTTGTGGGTTCCTTCGGAGCATGTTAGGGCCTCTTGGGGCCTCTTGGGGGCTCCGCGTGGGGACCTCTTGGACTGTCGGACATCCGGAACAGCGAGAACGCTGAAATCGATCAAAGGCAAACTTGGGTCCGTTCTGATGCCGTCTTGGAGTGCTCTTTGGCCGTCCCTCAGAGGACGAAAAGGTATCCATACCGCTACCTTTCCCTCGTTTTCCCCTTTTTGGGCCGGGCCTCCTGGGAGGCCCTCGTCGCCACCGCTGGATTCGCCTCGAAATCCTGGTCAGGACGCAGCCCGGGAGAGGTCCGGGGAGAAGCGGTATCGGTACCTTCTGGTTTCCCCAAGGTTTGCGCCGCGTTGACGCGGCGGCGACCCCAGCGCGGGCGTTCAAGGTTAGCCGCTGCCCGTGGCCCAGAATCGACTGAGGTTGATTTTGCGATGGAAGGCGTGACGTTCCCACTCGGAAACTGGAACATATACAATACCAGTGGCGGGCTGCTTTTCCATCCGAGGACTTTTTGAGGGTCGGGGGCGACGTCAGGGTGGTGTGGTGTGTACTTGATGTTTACGTTCCCCAAGGAAGCAGCGGAACATGTATACACCAGGATCCCGTATACACCAGGATCCGCTTCCCTGTGCAAATTTTGGTGCAGGGCCGCAAAGAGCCTCGGTGTATAGAGTTCGGTTCCCTACCCACACCAAAAATCAATGGACGTCCTGGGGTCTCATGATTTTGCGATGAACTGCGTGACGTTCCCACGCCAAAAATGGAGGAGGAGGAGGAGGAGGAGGAGGAGGAGGAGGAGGAGGAGGAGGAGGAGGAGGAGGAGGAGGAGGAGGAGGAGGAGGAGGAGGAGGAGGAGGAGGAGGAGGAGGAGGAGGAGGAGGAGGGAGGAGGGAGGAGGAGGAGGAGGAGGAGGAGGAGGAGTAGGAGGAGGAGGAGGAGGAGGAGGAGAGGAGGAGGAGGAGGAGGAGGAGGAGGAGGAGGGGGAGGAGGAGGAGGAGAGGAGGAGGAGGAGGAGGAGGAGGGAGGGAGGAGGGAGGGGGAGGGGGGGGGAGGGGGAGGGGGAGGGGGGGGGGAGGGGTAGGGGGGAGGGGTCATGGTTGGGTTTCTTGTGGACTGGCCTCCGCTGTGTCGGCCCAGCGCCAGCCGCAGGCCACCCGCGGGGTCTTGCGAAGGCAAGGGGAGGACCCCAGGGGGAGGCACGGGCGGGCCCGGGGCGGCCGGGGCCGGATGCGTGCTCTTCTCTCGAGGCTCAAGAGATGGGGGTCGATGCAAACGGGGGTCAGCCAGAGCGCTTGATCTTGCAGGATCCTGCAGGGCCGGGGCCGCATTGGCGCGGGTTTGGGTGCAGGATCTTGCAGGACCCTCCGCGCTGGTTTGGGTTCGGGTGCAGAGTCTTGCAGGGTCGTGCAGGATGCTGCAAGGCCTGACTGACCCGGGTCTGGACTGACCCCGGTCAGCGGATCCCCGAGTCTCCCGGGGGGCGGCGCGAGGGCGCGAAGGGGGCTGCGCCTCGCGCGTCAGCCAGCACGCACGCGCGGATTCAGGCAGACGTGTTTCTCCAACCCTGCAGCGGAAGATGGCTCACGCTGAGACATTTGGAGCAAGCATACCTGCGCCACACACATGGCACTGACCACAAGTTCCACATCTGTGACTGAGGGCCCCGGCCCGCCCGCGCATCAGCCAGCACGAATGCGCGGAATCAGGCCACGGCGAGCGAGGGGGGGAAGTGAGAAGGCAAAGGCCCTCTCAGAAGGCGGCGGGGCTTCTCAGAAGCCCTCGTGCCTTTGAGAGGTTTTCTGTGTATCCAGGGAATACTCAGAAAACTTCTCAGAAGGCGAGAGGGGCTTCCGAGCCTTCTGAGAAGGCCTTCTCCTTCTTACTTCCCCCCTCGCTCGCCGCCGATCTCGAGTCGAGGCCCCGAAGTTTTGCGAACCGCAGCCGGGCCAGCTGGACGGGCCTGCTTGGCCAGAGCCAGGCCCGGGAGGTTTTCGGACCGCCAGCGCGGTGGAATCAGTCGACGTAGAACGGTTTGCGCCATTTGGCAGCCGCGATCCGTCCGGGTCGACCGAGTCACGCCGTGACAGCACGCGTTTGTTTGGTTTTTGGTGGATATATCTGTGAAAACATTCGAGGGGTTCTCCAGGTCGTTTGGAGCCCTGGACATTTTTTGCGTGTCTGCCGATCTGTATAGTTAGGTATTTGTCCCGCGCTTCTCGGTAGCAAGTCGTATGTCCACCAAACATTTCCAGTCCGTAGTCGTGTAGTCATCCACAGATGCGCACTGGCGGGTCTGTTCAGCTCATGAGCGGCCTCCCAAGTACCACTGCATGCGTACATTGACGTATTTGCGTGGAGGGAAGGCGAACGCCCTTGCCAAATGCATTGGTTGCCCACTCGGTTGCCTTGCGAGCCGAAGTGCCACGCCGCGTGTTATTGAATATTTTGCTTGTTTGCGTTGTTTATTTGGTTGTGCTCGCTCAAACTCGGTTCTGACAAAAAATGGTAATCAATGCGATGGGCAGGACAAAGGAAAGACGAGGGCGCCTTATTCTCTCTTCGACAGACTCGCCCGCAGCATCGATCACCGAAAACCAGCAGGGTTGGGAACCCGATCCGAACGTTTGAGGGCATCGGGCAGGATCCATTCTGGTCCGATTGATCCGATTCGACATCGTCTCTGTCTGGCCCGATCCGATTCGGCCCCGATGCTCCGGCGAGCCGATGTGGACTGCCGCGCCTGCGGCCGATCCGATTCGGCTGCGGCTCAGAGCCGCTGCGGCCCGATCCGGCGCGCGCTGCGAGTCGATCCGAGCTCCCGTTTCGAGGCGGACTGATCTTGCCCGCTCCCTCTTGCTGACCGGACACGGGAGGAGAGCGCCTGCCGCTGTGCGCCGCCTCGCGCCTCGAGCCGTGGGGCCCTCCCGCGCCTCCCCCATCGCCCAAACCTCTTTCTCTCCCTGTCCTCTCCCCCTCTCTCGGGGCCTGCGGAAGGTGCCCCCGGCGCAAGGTGCCCCCAGCTTTTCGCTTCACGTTGGGCCCCCGGGGGCCCCCGGGGGCCTCGTGAGGGGTGCTACGGAGGCCTCTGGGGCCTCCTTGGGAGGTCCAGGGGGCACCTCGGGCCAGGGACACTTCAGGCAACACCCGGCTCTTTCCTTCCTACTTGCCTTCGTGAGCCGACCGCCTCCTTTGTCTTGGGCAGCCTCTTCGTCCATCTCCTCCTCCTCCTCCTCCTCCTCCTCTTATTCGTCCTCCTCCTTCCTCCTCCTCCCTCCTCCTCCTCTTCTTACTCGTCCTTTTCCCCATCCCTCCCCTCTATCCTCCCTCCTACTTCGGAGGCATTTTTGCTCGATGCCCTTGGCCAGTTTCGCTCTAGAACCGGGCAGTCGTGCCCATGCCATTGATTTGGGCCCTGAGGTCCAGGCCTTGCCATGCATCCAGCCCATGGCACCCAGGCCAGCCGATGGCAAAGACGAGCGAATCTACCAGTGCAGTCCGTGGGTGCTTGTTGGCCGTGGCGGTGTTCTTGCGGGCCACTGGCCACGCAATCGTGTCCCATGGCAGCGCACGGTCTGCAACTGTGGCCATCGACATGTCATGGTTTCTGCGCCAAGCGCGAGTGAGCGGCTTTGAGTCGGGCCTGTCCCTCTACAGGAGAAATATTCAAGAGCAGTCAAACAATAGTCTGGGAACATTTTCTCGACTTTTCCTTGACCATTTTCGAGCATGTTCGGAGTGTTTGCTCTTGTTCGTCCAAGATCCGCCCGTGGGGGGACGTGCCCGACCGGAGCCGAGCGCGGGTGAGCGGCTCCAGGGAACGGGGTCGCCTGCGCGGGCATTTGCGCGCAGGGCCGCGCGCCATCGCACGCCCCTCCCCCACGGCCGCGGCCTGCTGCGCCTGCGGCCCGCGTGAGAAGCCTCTGCGCGGCTCGCCTCGCTCCTCGCCGCTCTCGGGCGGCTCTGCGCCCGCTGCCCAGGAGCCCTGCGCGCCCCCCGTGCCCGTCGCCTGCTGGCCCGGGTGGCGGCGAGGTCGGCCGGCTCGGCCCCTCGAGCCGCGGCCTGGGCTCGGCAGGGCACCGCGCGGCCGGCTGCGCCTTCCCGGTGCGATCGGGCATGGGGACGGACCACGTGCGGCCGCGCGCAGAGGGGGGAAGGCTTCTTAGACTCGGGCCGGGCGAAAGGGGGGATTGGGAAAGGGGGGGTACGAAATCTGCTGCATGCAGCTGGTTCCGGCCTCATCGAGGGGCCCATTCCTCGATACAGAGCCGCCTCCGGCGCCAGGAGGCGCCGGGAAAATCAGCTACGTGAGCTGATTCTCACCCCCCCCTTTGCTATCCCCCCCTTTCGCCCGACCCGATAGAAGGAGGCTGCTTCACAGTGGGCGCGGGCCTTGTCTATACATGGAGGCTGGCGCCTTCTAAGAAGCAACCTCCTTCCAAGAAGTCTTTCCCCCTCCCCCTTCCCCCTTGTGCGCGTCGCCAAATCATGGAAGCATCGTCTGTCTTCGCGAAATTCCGTCTTTGAGTGCAAGCGCGTGCGCTAGTGTCTGGTAATCGATGCAGAAGCGCCGATGGAGCGTCGATGAGCTTCGATTTAGCGTCCATCAGCGTTGTTTAACGCCGGTTCGCAAGAACCAGCAAGAGCCGGCAAGAGCCAGCCCTCAGGGCGCAGATTTACATCAATTCGCGCAGTCCCAGATTAAGCCGCGCTGCAAGTGATTAGACCCAGTTGAGTTAATCATTTGCTGTTGGTCGCATACCACAGGAGCACCACATGAGTTGTCACAGAAGTGGCGAAGACCAACATCGGTGACTGTTCATTTTGAACGGTGTTCGGCATCAGTGTCGCCGCTGACGTTGTCAGCTTGAGACAACATGTCGCCTGCCCGACAGCCGCCGCTGTCGGTTTTTTGGAAATAATGATTTTCTGTACCCTTCACGGGTGCGGTAAGCATTGCGCAGCAGCAATTTGTTGCCACGCTCTGAGCCGACGTTCTCCAGTGGTCAAAGGTAATTCGTTTCTGCCAGAGTATCTGGTTCAGAAGCTCGTTGGCGCATGTCACACGGACAACCTACCGCTTCGTCTGATTCGCTCACGGTTTTGTACGGTCGGCACCGTGCCACGAAGGTTCAGGCTTGCAGGGCTTCGGATGAGAAGTTTAGCAGTGCCCTGGTCAGCCCAGGTCGTTCGGTATTCTGGATATGTTTCTGTATTACGTTCACGAGGATGGGCCAGGGGAGGCTTTCGCTTAGGTGTTATGCGTCAGTACTTCTTGGTAACAATAGTGCCGACCACTGGGTATGTTTCGCGCGAGTTCCAAGGGGTTCCTCCCGACCGCACGGATGTGCAGAGCACGGTCACGGCATCGGCTTTGGGAGGGCGATTCGCACGATACCGCTAGCCATGTCGCGCGAACATTCGCTGGCGGCTGGTTTCGCCGGCGCTGGTTTCGCCGGCGCTGGTTTCGCCGACGCCGTCGTCGCCGCGGGCGGGCGGACCCTAGCGGGCGGGTCGGGTCGGGTCGGGCGGGCGGACCTTGAGTAGCGGGTCGGGTCGGGCGAGCGGGGCATGAAAGTGTGGGGCGTGCTCGGCCGAGCACGCGCGAACCCTAACGGGCGGGTCGGGTCGGGCGGGCGGACCCCAGCGGCGGGTCGGGTCGGGGCGGGCGGGCGGACCCTGACGGGCGGGCCAGGTTGGGCGAGCGGGTCATTAAAGTGTTGCGCGCGCTCGGCCGAGCACGCGCGAACCCTAACGGCGGGTCGGCTCGGGCGGGCGGACCCCAGCGGGCGGGTCGGGTCGGGTCGGGCGGGCGGACCCTGACGTGCGGGTCGGGTCGGGCGGGCGGACCCTAGCCGGCGGGACGGGTCGGGTCGGACGGGCGGACCCTCACGCGCGAACCCTAACGGGCGGGTCGGGTCGGGCGGGCGGGCCCCAGCGGCGGGCGGGTCGGGTCGGGGCGGGCGGGACATTAAAGTGTGGGGCACGCTCGGCCGAGTACGCGCGAACTCTAACGGGCGAGTCGGGTCGGGCGGGCGGACCCCAGCGGGCGGGTCGGGTCGGGCAGTTTCGCCGACGGCAGCTGGTTTTGCCGACGGAGCTGGTTTCGCCGACGGGGCGAAACCAGCCGGGCGAAACCAGCCGTCGGCGAAACCCAGGCGAGGGAGGCGTGATGCGACAGCCGCAGACCCCGCTCGCTCTCGAGCGGTGGGCCCCTCGCGCTGCCTCGCGCGGAGGCTGGGCCACCCCGGGGGGGGCGCGAAGAGGACCGCGCTTTTCGGTGGCCCCCAAACGAGGTGGTGACCACACCACGTGGTGAGTCGGTGGGGATTCGGGGTCACCGCACGGTTTTGGGACTCCGGTCGTTCACCGAGGACGTCTCGGGCTACTGGGGCATCCGAGGTCCCAAAACCGTGCGTTGACGGACCGTTCGGTGAGGTCTTGGGGGATTTCGAGGTCACCGCACGGTCTGTCACCGCAGAGTTTCGGGACTCCAAAGCTGCGCGCGTCCTCGGCCCAGGCTTAAGCTGGGCCTGTCCCTCTACAGGAGGAATCTTCGAAACTAGTTAAAAGTAGTCCGTGGACGATTTTTCGATTATTCTGGGTCCGTTTTGAGCATGTTTTGACCTATTGCCATATTTCTTCCAAAATCCGCCTGCAGAAGGACATGCCCGACCTGAGCCCAGGCTCGAGAGCGGCCCCTTGACGAGCCGAAGGCCCCGATTCGCCGGCCATTACCAGGGGGGGGGTCGGGGAACATTGAATTCACATGTGAAGCCCGCCCCCCCCCCACCCGAAGTTCGGGTCTTCGGGTTGGGTCCAGGTCTGGTAGGCAGTCAAGCCTGGCTTCCATCAAGGGTGGAAAAACCACCCCGGCCCCGACAATTCGCTTTCACTGAACAGCCATGGGCGTTTACTGAACGTCCCTTCCCTCTTCGATTCCTTCCGTGGGTGCGTTTACGAAACGGTTTCGCTTGCCGGGGTGCTTCTCATGGGAGTGGATTTTCAGCCCTCTCTTCCAGGAGGTTCGCCAGCGAGTGCACGAGTGCGCGCAGGAGGGGCGCGAGAGGGTCGGGTCTCGGCCGCGCCGGGGTGCCCTTTCAGCCTGCCGCGGGGGCCCGCCCCCGGCGGCGGTGGCTCCTCCAGCGGAGCAGGCGGCGTGGGCCTCTGAGGCGTGCTCTCCGGAGAGGCGCGCGGCTTCCCCGCCCGCCCCCCCCCCCCCGCGCCTGAGCTGACCACTCGGAGCCCCTTCCACGGCAGTGCGCGGTCGTCCTGCCTCTCCCTGTTCCTTTCCCTCTCCCTCTCCCTGCTCCCTCTCCCTGCTCCTTCCTGCCCTCTCCCCCTCACTCTTCCCTGCTCCTGCTTCCCGGCTCGTCCTCTTCTCTCTCTCCTGCCTTCTTTTTTTCCCTGCCTCCTCCCACCTAGGTGACCGACGCCCGCATGCCGATCCTCCGCAACGCGGCATTCCAGGCAGGGCGCTCCCGGCGCACGTGGGCGCGAGCCAGATGCAGCAGGGTTGGCCAGAGAAGCAGGGGGTGACGAGGCGGTGGAGGATGAGGAGGATCGAAATCGGAGAAGGAGGAGGAAGGGAAGGAACGGGACGAGAATAGGGGGCCACATGCGAACCTTACCCCTACCCCCCGCGATCTCTGAGGGGGAGGGTGGGGTCCACTTCGTGGGGGGTAGGGGTAGGGTTCGCATGTGGCCTCCTAGAGGAAGGACGGAAAGAAGGAAGACACCAGCCGGGGGCCACCGAGTCGGGTGCGGGGTCATTTCGGATTGCGCGGCCGTGCCGTCGCCGTCGCTCGTTTTTGGCGCGGCGCGTCCCCCGCGGACCCGCCCTCGGGTTGAGGGCGCTTCCGCTGACGCTCAACATACGCACCCGCACGCACGCACCCGCACGCACGCACGCACGCACCCGCACACCCACATTCACACACATGTGCGCACACATTCGCACACATTCGCACACACATTCACACACATTCGCACACACACACACACACACGCACGCACGCACACACACACACATACACGCACACACACACACCCACACCCACGCGCACACGCACACGCACAGAGACACGCACACACACGCACACCCACATACACACACACACGCACGCACGCACGCACGCACACGCACGCACGCACGCACGCACGCACGAACACACACAGACGCACACGCACACACACCACAACACACACACCACAACACGACACAACACGCCACAACACGCCACAACACGCCACAACACGCCACAACACACCACAACACAGCACAGCACAGCACACCACAACACAGCACACCACAATACACCAAAAACACACCACAACACACCACAACACACCACAACACACCGCAACACAACACAGCACAGCACAGCACACCACATCACAACACAACACAGCACAACACAGCACAACACATCACAACACAACTTAACACAAAACAAGACGACACGACACGACACGACATGACGCAACGCAAGACAACACAGCACACCACAACACAACACAGCACAACACAGCACAGCACAACACAACACAATACATTACAACGCATCACAACACAACACAACACAACGTAACACAACACAGCTTAACACAACACAACACAGCACAGCACAGCACAGCACACCACAATACACCACATCACAACACACAACACAGCACACAACACAACACACGCACACTCACACAACACAGCACACACCACAGCACACAACACAACACACACCACAACACACAACACAGTACACAACAGAACACACAACACCGCACACAACACAACACACACACACTCACACAACACAGCACACACCACAACACACAACACAACACACAACACAAAACACAACACAACACACACACACACCACAACACGCATCACAACACAGCCCACAACACACAGCACAACATACAATTCACCACAACATACAACACCACACACCACAAGACACAGCACAACACACAGCACGACATACACTACATCACACAGCACAACATACACCGCAACACAACACGCAGCACAACACAACACAACACACAACACACGACACTTCACAACACACACCACAACACAATACAACACACACCACAGTACACAACACATTACACAGCACAACACACAACACACCACACACAACAACACACACTACAACACACAACACAGCACACACCACAGCACACAACACAACACACAACACAGTACACAACACAACACACAACATACAGCACACACTCACACAACACAGCACACAGCACGACACAAACCACAACACAGCACAACACACACAAACACATGCACACGCACACGAACACGCACAACCACTCGCACACGCACCCGAACCCGCACACGCACACGCACACGCACACGCACACGCACTCGCACACGCACACGCACACGCACACGCACACCCACCCGCACACCCATCCACACCCGCACCCGCACCCGCACCCGCACACGCCACGCACACACCCGCACACGCCACACGCACACGCACGCACACGCGCACACGCACACGCACACACGCACACACACACGCCACACGCATACACGCACACGCACCCGCACCACGCAACTCACACACGCACACGCACACGCGCACGCGCACGACCACACGCACACGCACACGCACACGCACACGCACACGACCGCGCAAACGCACGCACACGCGCACGCACACGCACGCGCACACGCACACGCCACACGCACCCCCACCCGCACCCGCACACGCACCCGCACACGCACACGCACACCACCCGGCACACCCACCCGCACACCCATCCACACCGCACCCGCACCCGCACATGCACATGCACACCGCACCCGCACACGCACACGCACAAGCACACTCACACGACCCGCACTGCACCCGCACAACGGTCACGGTCACGCATACGCACACGCACACGCACACGCACACGCACACGCACCACACGCACACACGCACACGCGCACGCGCACGCGCACGCACACGCACACGCACGCACACGCACACACGCACACGCACGCGCACGCGTACGCGCACGCACACGCACACGCACACGCACACGCACACGCACCCGCACCCGCACACGCACACGCACACGCACACGCACACGCACCCGCACACGCACAGGCTCACGCATACGCACACGCATACGCACACCCACCCGCACTCCCATCCGCACCCGATCCCGCACCCGCACCCGCACACACACACACTTTTTCCGTCGGCGGCTAGGCAGAGTCACTTCGCTGGCGATGGGGCGTATGCAGGATGCACGCAACGCGAATTAAGCCGCAATGCGCGGGGGAGGGAGAAGAGGCCCGACGCGGGCAAGAGGGAGGGAGGAGCTGTGCCCGCTCAGAGGGGGCAGGCGGCGGCGGCGGGGGGGCGCCGGGGGCCGGACCAGCGGCGGCGGGGCAGCAGCTGGGGATAAGAAGCAGGGGCAGCCGCCGAAGGCGAGCGCCCAGGGGGGGAAGGCCCAGCAGAGCTGGAGGCGGAAGCGAAGCAGCAGTGCCTGGGGAGCCGAGGTCAGGAGACCTGCGAGGCGCCCGGAGGAAAGTTCCAAGCGGAGGTCACCCCAGTGATAGGGACGACCTGGAGCCAGGTGGGCAGGCAGACTGGGCCCGACACGCGAGGGCCCGTGGGAACCCTAGCCAAGTACGTACCCAGAATGCAGAGGCTGCGGGTGACCTGCAAGGCACCCCTCTGGCGTGGCGATAATCGACAGGCTGCCAGAACTGCCCAGACGGGTCCAGGCGGCCCAGAGAAATGGGGGCGGCAGGAGAAGGTTGGAGCGGGGACCGCGGGAGCCGAGGTCACGAGTGACCTGCGAAGCGCCCCGGGAGGCCGGCGGGGGACCGCCCCAGAAGGGGTGCCGTCCAGGGGGCGGGCATGAGGGAGCAGTGAGGGCACAGAGCAAGTGCCAGGCCGGGGAAGAAACGGGGCGGCGGCCAGGCGCCGTGGATGCCGAGGTCGCGGAAGACTTGCAAGGCACCCCTGTAGTGGCGCGAGCCAGGCCCGGCCTGACGGGGGCGTCCAGAGCGGACCGTTCCCCAGGGGAGAGGGAAAGCGGGGGCCACCAGGCCAGGGGGGGCCGGGAGGGCGATGCGCGGGCGCCCCCCGGCGAGGGGAGGGCCGCACCGGGCGGAGGCAGCGGGCTGCAGGGTCACCGAGCTGCCGGAGCGGGCGGACCCAGGAGCGGCTGGGGGTAGCGAGGCAGGCGCCTCCGCCCAGGTGGCGAACGGGCCGAGAGCGTGCAGCAGGCGGCCCGGGCCGAGGTGGCCGTGGCAGGGCGTCATGGCCGATGCCGGGAGTCGAGGGCGGGCGGCAAAATCCAGCTCGCGCATACACGCACACACGCACGCACGTACGCGCACACGCACACGCTCACGTACACGCGCACACACACACACACA